TATTGGGATGGATTATCTTCAGCAGCACGAACAACGAGAATGCGGCAGCGGAGTTTATCCGTCAAAACAGAAAAATGATCCAAGTTAGAGTTTGAATCACCAAGGTCCGCATCATCGCCATCAGGAAGAGCAAAGGTGGGCTGAAGTTCGCGACATCTTCGCATATAGTAGCACAAGGCTCTAATAACTGCACCAGAAAAGATTACAGATGAATTGAGGGAGCTGCTGCTGCTCATAAGTTTAACTGCTTTCTGACGTACACTCTCATTCATTTGAGATAAAACCTTGTACTGGCCTTCTAAAGGCAAATTGGATTCAGAATTATCCGGGTCTTCAAAATTTGGGAATAAAAATGCAACCTTCTCTGTAACTCCAAAGATTGCAACTTCATTCAGTGGTGAGAGCATCATGTGCAAATTTGAATAAGAAAGTACAGCGTCTATGCAGTGAAATACGTTAAAGTCTTCTGAATTATTCAAGCCCCACCACACTGGCGTGAGATCAATTGCAACAATTAGCAGATTAGGTACCCCCTGTGTTGATGCAACTTTAGGATTTTTGTCCATTTTTACAGGATTTACGGGTTAGGCAGAGAAATCAAGAGTTAATTGAACAAGACATTCGTCGAAATCCTCCGATTTTGCAGTAGTCCTTCCGTTATCTGAGGCCCTTTCTGAAATTCTGCTTAAAAGTTCTGTGGAAATTCAAGAATACATAATTACCTTCTATATACAAATCAAGAAATTGAGAACTAAGGAGAGCTGCTTCGGGATTGACTAAAAATAACTCATTCCAATCCACATACTTTTCGTTTTAGAATCTGTAAAGAATGATTTCAACAGATCAAGTACAACTTTTTCCTGTAAATGATAAATTAGTCATATGGAATAACGTGGAAAAAGGCATAATTGTTAAATTCAACTGACCATGAGGACAAAAGAATGAAATAAGCGGGAAGAGTAAAGAAATGTAAACAAGAAGTGCTGTCTTATCGCTTTAGGAAATAACAATAGCTTTTTTATTA